TACTAGAGAGTCTGAGGCAGGAGAATCACTTGAACCTGGGAGGTGGAGGTTGCAATGAGCCAAGATCACGCCACTGCACTCCAGCCGGGGAGACAGAGGTGAGACTCTGTCTCAAAATAATAATAATAATAATAATAAAATTTAAGGACTTACACTACCTGATTTTTAAGACTTACCATAAAGCTACATTAGTGAGGAGCACAATACAAATGTGAGAAGAGTTCAAAGGAGCAGAACAGAGCACCCAGAAAACAGACCCACAACTGATTTTTCTTTTTTTTTAAGACAGGGTCTCACTCCATCACCCAGGCTGGAGTGCAGCGGTGTGAACATGCTTCACTGCAGCCTCAACCTGCCAGGCTCAAGTGATCCTCCCACCTCAGCCTCCCACATAGCTGGGACTACAGGCAAACAACTCCAGCTAATTTTTTGTACTTTTTGTAAAGATGAGGTTTCGCCATGTTGCCCAGGCTGGTCTCGAACTCCTGGGCTCAAGCGATCCACCTGCCTTGACCTCCCAGAGTGCTAGGATTACAGGTATGAGCCACTGTGCCTGGCCCCACAACTGATTTTTAACAAATGTATCAAAGGAATTCAATGAAAGAAGGAAAGTCTTTTCAAAAACAGTGTTGGAAGAACGGAATGCCCAAATTTAAAAATAAAGAACACCAATCCCTATCTCATACCATTCCAAAAAAACCTAAAAATCACCTCAACTTAAAGTTGATTTTTTTTTTTTTAAGTTTCTTTTTTTTTGAGACGGAGTTTCACTCTGTTGCCCAGGCTGGAGTACGTTGGTGCAATCTTGGTTCACTGCAACCTCTGCCTCCCAGGTTCAAGTGATTCTCCTGCCTCAGTCTCCCAAGTAGCTGGGATTACAGGCGCGTATCACCATGCCCAGCTAATTTTCTTTTCTTTTTTGAGATGGAGTCTTACTCTGTTGCCCAGGCTGGAGTGCAGTGGCGTGACCTCAGCTCACTGCAACCTCCACCTCCCCGGTTCAAGTGATTCTCCTATCTCAGCCTCCCAAGTAGCTGGAACCATAGGCGCATGCCACCACGTCCAGCTAATTTTTAGTAGAGTCGGGATTTCACCATGCTGGCCAGGCAGGCCTCGAACTCCTGACCTCAGGTGATCCGCCCCTCTCGGCCTCCCAAAGTGCCAGGATTACAGGCATCAGCCATGGCGCCCAGCTGAATTTTTGTATTTTTAGTAGAGATGGAATTTCACCATGTTGGCCAGGCTGGTCTCAAACTCCTGACCTCAAGCAATCCACCCACCTTGGCCTCCCAAAGCTAGGATTGTGGGCATGAGCCACCGCCCCCAGCCAAAATCATACAGTTTCTAGAAAAAAATCTTCACAACTTGGAGATAAGCGAAGATTTCTTTGACAGCATACAGACAGCAAAAAACATAAAACAGAAAAGTTGACCAAATTTCATATTTAAAAAACCATTTTATAGTTTTAACAAACTTCATCAAAATTTTAAAACTCCTGCTCATCAAAAGACATTAAGAAAACGAATAGGTAGGCTCTAGGCTAGAACAAAATATTCATGAAACAAATACATGACAAAAGACGAGCCAGGAACCGTGGCTCACGCCTGTAATCCCAGCACTTCAGGAGGCCGAGGCAGGCGGATCACCTGAGGTCAGGAGTTCAAGACCAGCCTGGCCAACATGATGAAACCACGTCTCTACTAAAAATACAAAAATTAGCCAGGCGTGGTGTCACATGCCTGTAATCCCAGCTTCTCAGGAGGCTGAAGCAGGAAAATCGCTTGAACCCAGGAGACAGAGATTGCAGTGAGCCAAGATCGCATCATTGTACTCCAGCGTGGGCAACAGAGGGAGATTCTATCTCAAAAAAAAAAAGAAAACAAGTTGTTCTCAAAGAAGTAGAGAGTAGGCCAAGTACAATGGCTCACACCTGTAATCCCAGCACTTTGAGAGTCCAAGGTGGGAGGACTGCTTGAATCCAGGAGTTCGAGACCAGCCTGGGCAACATAGTGAGACCTCGTCTCTATTTAATTTAAAAAAAAAAAAAAAAAGTAAAGAGTAAAATAGTAGTTACCAGAGGATGGAGAGGGGAAGGGAGAGAAAAGCAGGAGAGAGATTGGTCAATAGGTGCAGAACTATATCATACAGAAGGAATAAGTTCTGGTGTTCTATTGCAAAATAGGAAGCTTAGCGTTAACAATAATAAATTGCATTTTTTTTGTTTTTTTGAGATAGAGTCTTGCTCTGTTGCCTGGACTGGAGTGCAGTGGCTCGATCTCGGCTCACTGCAACCTCCACCTCCCAAACTCAAGTAATTCTCCTGCCTCAGCCTTCTGAGTAACTGGGATTACAGGCGCCCACTACCACACCCAGCTAATTTTTGTATTTTTAGTAGAGACGGATTTTCCCCATGTTGGCCAGGCTGGTCTCGAACTACTGACCTCAGGTGATCCGCCCATCTCCGCCTCCCAAAGCGCTGGCATTACAGGTGTGAGCCACCATGCCCAGCCAGAACTGTATATTTCAAAATAGCTAGAAAAGAGGTTTTTGGCCGGGCGCAGTGGCTCAAGCCTGTAATCCCAGCACTTTGGGAGGCCAAGACAGGTGGATCACGAGGTCAGGAGATCAAGACCATCCTAACTAACACGGTGAAACCCCATCTCTACTGAAAAAATACAAAAAACTAGCCGGGCGTGGTGGTGGACGCCTGTAGTCCCAGCTACTCTGGAGGCTGAGGCAGGAGAATGGTGTGAACCCGGGAGGCGGAGCTTGCAGTGAGCTGAGATCCGGCCACTGCACTCCAGCCTGGGCAACAGAGCAAGACTCCATCTCAAATTAAAAAAAAAAAAAAAAAGGAGGTTTTTGAATGTTCTCATCACAAAGAAATGATAAATGTTTAAGGTGATAGATATGCTAATTACCCCAATTTGATCATTACACAATGTATACATGTGTGAAAACATCACATTGTTCCCCATTAAAAGGTACAAACATTATATGTCAATCATAAATTGTTTTAAATGTGTCAAAACTTTGAATAGACACATAAAAAAGGAAGCTATGTGAATGGCTAACAAATAGCTGTAGAAGTGCTGAACTCAACAAATGGCAAATTCAAAATCTGTGCATTTCGCTGTATGTAAATTTGACCTCAGAAAAAAATCAGAAACAATATTGAATTCTACTTAATGATATGCATGCTGAAGTATTTAGAGGTGAAATGTATTGAGATCTGCAACTTACTCTGAAGTGCATGAAAACATAAGATGGGCCGGGCACAGTGGCTCATGCCTATAATCCTAGCACTTTGGGAGGCCGAGGCAGGCAGATCACCTGAAGTCAGGACTTCGAGACCAGCCTGGCTAACACGGTGAAACTCCGTTTCTACTAAAAATACAGAAATTAGCCGGGTGTGGTGCCGCGTGCCTGTAATCCCAGCTACTCTGGATCCTGAGGCAGGAGAATCGCTTGAACTCAGGAGGTAGAGGTTGCAGTGAGCCGAGATTGCGCCATTGCACTCCAGCCTGGGCGACAAGAGCGAAACTCCGCCTCAAAAAAAAAAAAAAAAAAAAAAAAAAAAAAGGTTGGGGCAGAGGAGGGAATACAGGAAAATAAAGGCAGTTGCTTCCCTGATAATGAAGTAATTTGCTCCCAAGTCACCCTCATCTGTATCAATCAAGCTTGGCCCCTATGGCCTGGAAGCTGCCCCAGAGAACAGCACAAAACCTCCTGAGAAGAATGGTGTGGCTGCTATGTCTCCTATACTCTATCCCTTCATGAAGCTACGTGAATTTAATGCAGGGTTAAAGGACATTGCATACCATGAATTTGATTATCAATCCAAAACTAAGGCCATTCTTTGTGGTTGTGCATTGTTTTAACAGCTACAGCCTAACACCTAGTCTTTCCCTGTACTATTTTACAGTTTTAGCTGTCTTCATCATAATTATTACCAGTGTCATTAATTTCCTGTCTCTATGCATCATTTCCCAAAGAATCTTGGATCTTTGAGAATAAGGACAGTGAATTTAACACTCTATTTGGCTAGCTCCCACAATCTCATATAGTTCTCTGCCCAGAAACCAATAAATTAAATTTCTAGTACAGAAAAGACCATAAGGGTTGGGGGCAGGGATACGCAACATCAGAAGAAGGGGGTGAACTCTATGGGGCTCTTCATCTAAAAACATAACCCCATTTCCTAGAGTTGGAAAATGTGTTCTTTTATCACTGGGTAGTTTTCTAGGACAAAAAAAAAAAAAAACAGTCAAGAAGGCATCACAGAAAATTAATGGTTTGAGATCAGAGAAATCTGGATTTAATTCCTGACTCTACCATTTGGCCATTCGCATGTCCCCGTGCATAAATCATGTAATCCCTCTAAGCCAGATGATCTCATCTCTCAAATGGGGACGTCACCACCCATCTCCTATAGCTGTTAATGATTTAAACATAAGACTGAAATATTTATGGATTAAATGGTATGATGCCTTGGATTTTCTTTAATCCAGTAAGAATGGAGATGAAATAAAATTGGCCATGAGTTGATCATTGCTGAAGTGGGATGAGGATACAGAAGAGTTCATTAACTCTTTTTCCACTTTTGCATCTTTGTTTTCTATAATAAAATGTGAAAAAGAGGTCCAATGTACAAGATAAGACTATTAGACACTATTAAAGTGTTATAATTATTTGTGCAAATGTTGACATAGGGAACTTTTAATAGTGCATTTTAGGATCTTAATAACCCAAGGTTTTTATAAAAAGTTACCATTACATTTTAGAATACTCTGAATTAATATTAAACTTGGTCATGTTTTTGTATAAGTTCAAAAAACAGAAAGATTAAACACAAAAACCATTATAATATGCCTAGAACAATGGCGAACACAAGGCATAAACCACTTAATCACTTCCTCCCTTCCCAAGAAAGAGAGATGAGCCCATTCTCTGAGAAATGAGCCAGCATTTCAGAAAAGAGAAAGGTGGGTCCAACTCACCAGATATCTAGGCTTCCCTTCCCAAGGCCAGGCAGAATCCTTGGCAGGCAGAGCTGGGGAAAGAAAGAAGCAGTCTTAAGAAGCCAGCCCTACCAGGCCCATCATGAGGATCCCCAAGAGCCCTCTGAGCCTTGGCTGTGGTCACCTGAGCTTTCTCAGCGGACCCAGACCCCGAGCTCCTTGCACCTACTGCCTTATGCTTGAGTCAACTTCTCTATGCTCTGCACCACTTCCCTATTACATCTTTACAGAAACACTAATCTTAATCAAATGTAGTAAGGTAAACTCTAAGCATTCATCATTTTTCTACCCTAAAAATTAGCAAAACTTGAGACAAGGCATCATTTCCCCCATGTGTTATGTGACTCCAGGTAGACATTTTTTTTTTCTTTAATTTATGAAAATGGACTGAGCACAGTGGCACGCACCTATAATCCCAGAACTCTGGGAGGCCGAGGTAGGCAGACCACTTGAGGTCAGGAGTTTGAGACCAATCTAACCAACATGGCAAAGAAACCCCATCTCCATTAAAAATACAAAAATTAGCCAGGCATGGTAGTGCACACCTATAATCCCAGTTACTCAGGAAGCTGTGGCAGGAGAATCACTTGAACCCAGGGGACGAAGGTTGAAGTGAGCAGAGATCACACCACCGTACTCCAGCCTGGGCAACAGCAAAACTCCATCTCAAAAATAGTTTATGAAAGAGAAGTCTGTGATTTAATAAAAATGTATTTTTAAAAAATGTGTCAGGCCGGTTTCAGTGGCTCACACCTTTAATCTCAACACTTTGGGAGTCTGAGGTGGGAGGATCACTTGAATCCAGGGCTTCAAGACCAGAGTGGGTGACAATGAGACCCACCTCTAATAATAAAAATAATCATTGTGGAATTTATTGATTGATTGAGACAGGGTCTCACTGTTGCCCAGGCTGGCATGCAGTGGCGCAATCTCTGCTCACTACAACCTCCACCTCCTGGGCTCAAGGGATCCTCCCACCTCAACTTCCCTGGGATTACAGGCATGCACCACCACACCCGGCTACTTTTTGTATTTTTTGTAGAGACGGGGTTTCACCATGTTGGCCAGGCTGGTCTCAAACTCCTGACCTCAGGTGATCCACCCACCTCGGCCTCCCAAATGCTGGGATTACAGGCATGAGCCACCGCGCCCAGCCTTCCCTGCCATATCTTTGCTGAGGGGAAAGAAGAACGCTTTCCTGATCCTTGAATGTCACTGATTCTGAAAGTTCAGAAAAGGAACTGCGATGTGGTATTTCTAACCTGTGACCTGTGCCTTTGTAGAAGGGACAGAGTCTGGGAAAGGGAGTGCCTCTCAGGGGGAGGAGGGTCTTAGCAGCAGACCGAAGCTTCCTCCTTGACACTCTTTATTCCAGTGTGAAAGACAGGAACATACTGATAAGGCATACGTGTTTACAAGATATATAGAAGCTGGCCAGGCTCTGCACGGTGCCTCATGCCTGTAATTCCAGCACTTCGGGAGGCCAAGGCGGGCGGTAAGTAGTTCGAGACCAGCCTGGCCAACATGGTGAAACCCCATCTCTAATAAAAACGCAAAAATTAGCCAGGTGTGGTGGCGCACGCCTGTAATCCCAGCTACTTAGGAGGCTGAGGCAGGAGGATCACTTGAACCCATGAGGAGGAGGTTGCAGTGGGCTGAGATCTTGCCACTGCACTCTAGCCTGGGCAACAAGAGTGAAAAACTCCGTCTCAAAGAAAAAAAAAAAGCAGCTTATAATTTGTCTCATCTATTTTTGAGCTCCCCAGAGAGTAATAGTGCAGTTACTATGGGGAATTAGGCTAAGGGTAGCCTTGTCCTTGGGTGTGCAAGAAAAAAAAGCCCTAAATGTGATAATGACATCACCCCTGCTGAAATCATCACCCCTGGAAAAACACTCTAAATAGACCCCAACAACAACTCTGGCTTTTGTACTAAGCTGATGAGAATGTGTCAAGTGATTTAATAAAGACATATATACAATTTCTCCTCTTGCATGCCCTAGAAAACCATCATCCTGGCCCCATAATATGTGCCTACACTACGTATCTATCCAGAACTGCACATCTTTGTGTACATGGAGCAGCATTTTAAAATTTAAAAAATACATAAAATTATAATCTTGTGTGATAACTGTCTTGGGTGATTTTCCAAGTTACTGTTTTCCTCACTAAAGTCAGGAGGGAAAAAAAAACAATCTTACTATTTCAAGTTCTAAAGTTTTAGAAGTAGAAAAACTGAGTACCATGATTTGGCCACTCCCAGTGGCTACATCTGAGCAAAGCACAAGGCAAGGAGGCAAATCCTTAGAGTTTTCAGCAAAAAAGACCATCTAAGCCTCACCCTTCCAGAGGGACAGATGGTTCTGATCCCACTGAGCAGGCGGGAAAAAACTGAGGGACACAGAATAATCTCATACAGCTGAACTAAGGGATCCTACCTCGAGTCCCGGCTCTGCCCTTACTCCTTAGGTGCCTCTCCCCAGCATAAGACCACTCACAGGCAAATCATTCAGGGAGGCAAAGAAGTCCTCCAAGAAGGGAACAGGTGTTGAATGACAGGCACACTCCAGGACCTCAGGAGCAGGTGCCTCCGCCCATGTTGGACACATCTGCAAAGCACTTAGGGAAGTCAAAGAACCTTTCTAGCTCTGTGACCACAAATCACCTTCTTTGCCACTCACAAGATGGAAAAGTTATTCTCCTTCTAAAGTTCAACTTAGTGTTACTTTCTTTTTTTTTTTTTTTTTTGAGATGGACTTCTGCTCTTGGTGCCCAGGCGTACAGTGGCACGACCTCAGCTCACTGCAACCTCCACCTCCACCTCCACCTCCTGGGTTGAATTCTCCTGCCTCAGCCTTCTGAGTTGCTGGGATTACAAGCGCACACCACCAAGCCCGGTTAATTTTTGTATTTTTAGTAGAGACAGAGTTTCACCATGTTGGCCAGGCTGGTCTCGAACCCCTGACCTCAGATGATCCACCCGCCTCAGCCTCCCAAAGTGCTGTGATTACAAACGTGAGTCACTGCAATCTGGCCCACCATCTTTACTTTCTTTAGTTTTGCTATCCAATTGAACTGGTCTTGGCACAGTAGGCAGAGACAAAGCCCACCACCCTCAAAGAGTGGATAGAAGGAGGCACAAGGGCTCCCACACAGGACAAACAGCTACATGCTGGACGATGGCTTGGCAAACTACACACAGGCCAAATCCAGCCTGTCACCTGTTGTTATACCACCCAAGGGCTAAGAATAGTCTTTACTTAAGAAAAAAAAAAATTTTAACATAAAGATGATGTCTCACTATGTTGCCCAGGCTGGTCTCAAACTTCTGGGCTCAAGTGATCCTAGCCTCAGCTTCCCAAAGTGCTGGGATTACAGGTGTGAGCCACCACGCTGGGCCAGTTTTTATATTTTTAAATGGCTGGAAAAAAAAAAATCAAAAAGAATATTTCATAATGAAAAGTATACATGAAATTCAATGTTCTTTTTTTTTTTTTTTAGACAGAGCCTCATTCTGCTACCCAAGCTGGAGTGCAGTGACGTGATCTCAGCTCATTGAAACCTCTGCCTCCAAGGTTCAAGCAATTCTTGCGCCTCAGCCTCAGAGTAGCTGGGATTACAGGTGTATGGCACCACGCCCAGCTAATTGTTTTTTTTTTTAAGTAGAGATGGGGTGTTGCCATGTTGACCAGGCTGGTCTTGAACTTGTTGGAACCCAAGTTAAAGCTCCACTTTGGGCAGGGGTCACCGCGAGAGACCACTCAATACCGAGATCATAGCGGAGAGACACTTTTATTTCTAGCGCGCCAGGGTCCCTCGTACACAAGGATGGCCAAGAGACCCCGAGCGCTCGTTACAGGCTGCTTATAAAGGCACAGACTACAAATTCAGACAAAGCTTTTAGGGCGCGAAATTCAAACAAAGCTTTGGGGCGCGAGATGATTGGGGCTTGTCATGGCCTGAGCAAGGCATCTCACTCTGATTGGTTGGGGTTTGTGCACGGGATGGAGACGTGGGGGGGGCGTTTCTGGAATTGTTTTTCTGTTTGAATTCCGGGAGCATTGGGTGTTTCCCTTAGTCACCCATGGCCACCTAGTGTTGTTTTTTTCTTAGTTACTCATGGCCTATTTTCATTCCCTCCTCTTTTTGTGACCCAGAGGCTCAATCTTGAGCCTCTTCTTCAGTCCTGAGTGCCTGGTATTGTTGGGTCAGGACCATAGCATGTACTATATTTAATCTATCTCTGATTAGGGTGAGCAGGCGGTTGAGTATGCACGGCCCGAAAGTCAGGATGAGCATGAGTAGGATTAGGGGACCCAAGATGGTGGAGACTAAGGTGCTAAACCAAGGGGACTGGTTATACCAACTTTCAAACCAATTTTGTTGAGACTCTCTTTCTTTCTGTCGTTTGTCTAATCTTTCTCTAAGTTTTGCCATGGAGTCTTTAACTATTCCTGAATGGTCAGCGTAAAAGCAACACTGTTCTTTGAGGGCCGCACAGAGCCCGTCTTCTTTTAGAAAAACAATTTCTAGTCCTCGCCGGTTTTGCAGTACAACCTCAGACAGGGAAGTTAGGGACTCTTCAAGCTTCGTGATAGAGTGTTCTATGGCCCTAAGGTCTTCATCTATAGCTACCCTGAGTTGTTGCAGATGGTAATTGCCATGCACTAATGCTGCTGTCCCCGTTCCAACCCCAGCTGCCACTCCTAATCCTAGCATGACGGCGAGGGTGAGAGAAACGGGCTCCCTTCTCGTTCTAGTAAGAGCTTTCTGCTCATACTGGAGTTCAAGGGAGTCTCCAGTGTGATAATATACCCGGGGGACAAGCTGCACTAACACGCAGTAATCTGTGCTGCTGTTGAAGACGGCTGTGGATACACAGGGGGTAAGTCCGGTGTTGCAGGCCCACCAGTCTGCCTCGGAGGGGACTAAATAGTGATTTGTGCTAGGTACTGTCAGGGTTACATTACAGAGATGTCGGTGACTAGTGGGCACTCGGCCTATACAGGTTCCTGACCCGGATACTTCGGCTA